ACGATCCCCCTTCTCCCCCTCAAAATGCACACAAGACTCAGCTTGTGTCTGTACAGGAGAGCAGGGACAGATGTTTTTTCAGTATTACTTACTTACCTCACTTACCTGAAACCAGAGATTCAGTTAGAAGCTACTGAGTTTGTACTTTCAGGAATCTGCTTTTATTTTACTGGTTCATGTTTGCTTTCAGCTGTAGAGTTAAGTTAAGTCGTTAAGTTAGTGTTGAGGAAAAACCCAACACTTCCTGATTTTGCTGCTTCATACTAAGTGTTTTAATAACAAAACAACCAGAGACTTTTGTTCTAAAGAGAATTCTTTAAAAAGAATAAAAGACACACCTTCAAGCGGGTAGCCCTGTTTGAGGTGCAAATTCCTGCCCTGTGTGCCACATGTGTATGGAAATACGCCAATAGTCTTCCTTTTGACAGTGTCTCATATGCTCAGTTGCCAGCTTGCCAGGGACCAACTCTAGATCTTGCCTTGGTCAAGGCCACTGACTGTAGAAAATAAACCTAATATTTGGGAGCACCCGAGGAAAAAAAAAAAAAAAAAAACCCTGCAAAAATACGAGGAGAACATTCGAACTCCACACAGAAAGGCCCTAGCGTTTTATAACAGTAGCTATATTAAGATATCACTTTTAAGGGATATGATAGACGGGTTATTAGCTAGGGCATGTTCATTATGTGCTGTCATAGCTTTATATATTGAACAATTTTTTTTTTTTTTTTATTGATGAAGCGTCTATTGCTGATATATTGATATTGTTTTGCCCTGGCCTATATACTGTTGACTACAGTTGAACTGAATGTTTGTTTTGTAGATTTTGAAGTGGAACTTCATCACTCCTCGAGACGAATATGTGGAGCAGCTGAAAACTCAGATGTCCACCTGCTTTGCGAAGTGGCTGCAGGATGAGCTCTTTCACTTTGACTTCCAGAGACACGTCAAAGCTATAGGAGTCATGATTGAGGTAGCGGTTGGTCTTATTTCTACATATGGGGCTGGGTATTAGGAGTAGGCTAGTTTCAGTAATCAAGTCTGTATGTGGATTTGTGTTTAACAGAGGTTGGAGAGTGAGAGGGAAGCCACCATCGGCTGTCTGGACCTGATTCTGAAGTGGTTCACCCTGCGCTTCTTTGACACCAACACCACAGTCCTGATGAAGGTGCTGGAGTATCTGAAGCTGCTCTTTGCCATGCTGAATAGAGAGAACTATCACCTGACTGAGTACGAGGCCAACTCTTTCGCCCCCTACCTCATACTAAAGGTGAGCGCACATCCCCCTTAGAATGATCAAACAAGCCACTGTCAAGCTTTTGTTTTGCTTAGTTTCTCCTCTCTTCCTCAGGTTGGAGAGTCAAAGGATGGGGTTCGCAAAGATGTTCGAGCCATACTGACCATGCTGTGTAAGGTTTACCCAGCATCCAAGGTCTTCCCTTTCCTCATGGATGGCACGAAGTCCAAGAATTCCAAACAGAGGGCTGGTAGGTCTCTATGGACTACAAGCTTACTGGCTAAAGTTGCACTAATCTCTGTCCAAACCTGATTTATTGTATGCCTTTTTAATGGAGAGAGAAGCCTTCCTAACATTAGCTACCAGATTTAACAAGCTAGCTGGCGATGAATGAAGATTAGCTAGCTAGTTAGCTA